GCCTGTTACTGTGTGGGTTGTCCCACCCTGGCCTGTCCCACCCTGGCCTGTCCCAGTTTGGGCGTTTCCCCCCCCCCCCTCGTCCTTCCGCAGAACCCGCAGCGACGGGGCCGCGAGGGGTCGCCTCCACGTGGTGCCCTCGTGGGGGGCGCCGAGGGGTGGGACCGGGGGCGTCAGTTCGGGCCGTTCCGGCGTGGGGTATGGCACCAGCACCAGCCGCCGCCGCCGGTGACTCAGCGAGGACGGGTCGATCGCCGTGGGCTTTCCTGCGGGCCTTGGGACGGGGTCGGGAATGGGGGGTTTGCCCCGGTTCGCCTCGGGTTCGGTGGGGGCCGTCGCCCTGGACGAGCGATGGGAGGTGGGCACGCTGGGCAGCGGCGGGGTGTTGTCCGTGTCGGCGGACCCATGGTTATTCGTGACGATTGCGCGAGAGCCTTTGGAGGGCGTTAGGGTGTGGGGAGGCGACAGAAGTGAGGAATATTGGGTCTGGACTCCATCGAAAAAGGAGTGCTGAAGGGCCTCCTCCACTGTAATTCGCTTCGAGGAATCGATGGTTAACAGACGTTTCAGGAGGTCAACGCCAAGTTCTCCCAAGATATCAGCAAATTGTTTGGACAGGTAATCACAGAACTCACAATCAGATGGCACCGAAGAGGAGTCACCGTTGTGCACGTTTTCCTGAGGAACGCTGGAGTTGATTTTGTACAGCAAGGCTTTGTACGACTGTGGAAATCTTCCAACACAAGTTTGGATTAAGGAGAGCTGGTCTAACTCCGAATTTCCCGGGAGTAGCGGTTCGCCATTTGCGATCTCTGCCATGATTGCGCCTACAGCCCACATATCTACCGCAAAATCGTATTGGGATACGCCCAACAACATCTCGGGGCTGCGGTACCACCGCGTGGCTACGTAGCCCGTCATAGAGCTCGCATTACAGTCATATACAAGATCGTCTAGCGTAGACAAATTCAGGTCCCGCGACGAATTCGTCCTTTTACCAATGTCCTCACTGCGAGACGATAAATTTTCCAGGGAGGTAAATGAAGTTGATGCGGGTGTGTCGTGCCGGTGCACCGGAAAAACTGGGCGTGTGAAGCCAAAGTCACACAATTTGGCTGTACCATCGTCCTTCACCAGTATATTTTCAGGCTTTATATCACGATGGATAAGGCCGCGGCTATGAAGAGAACGCACCCCGAGAAGAATGGTATAGATGAGCATCCGCAAATTCTCAACTTCGAGCCCTCTTGAGTTCGCGTCTAAAATTTCTAGAAGATTGTGAGGAATATATTCCATCACCAAATAAACTTGATTATCTTCTTCGAAGGCATCAAGCAGTCTAACGATATGGAGCTCCTCTGATAGAAGCTGTTGTACGCGAAGTTCACGGATAATAGTATGTAAAAAATACTCCTTAGCGGAGATGTCCTTTCTAAAGCATTTTATTGCTACAGATTCTCTAGTCTTCAAATCTTTACATTCTAGAACAATCCCATATGTTCCTCTTCCAACGACCTTAACAAATTTATACCGTTCCATCACAACTTTTTAGATGAAGAAAGGACTAATTCAAGCCATATATAAATGATAATTCCAAATCAACACGAGAGAGAGTTCAAAATCAGCGCAATCATGTATTAAATATATTCTTTAGCATTTCATCTGTGAATCAATAATTGAATGTCTATGTAGAACGGAATCCATAGTTTAGCTAAAAAAATGGAAACAATCTAAAAAAATCACAAAGGTACACAACGCATTTTCAATCCATACACCCTTGTTGATCACGCAGTCAAATAGCTAGATGAATCCATTTCCTTTCGTTTGATGTACAACAAGGAAAAGGAAAGCAATAGACCTAAAATAAAGTCTCATACCTGATTCTAAAAAAAAAAGAAATTTCACAAGTTATTGGCCTTTCCTTCGGATACTCACCCTCCCTCGAGATGCATTGATACATTGTTCATCTAAGCCATTAGACTAAATTACTATTCGCTTGTGTCTTCGTTTATGTATCTGCTGAAGAACATTTATCTTTTCTGCACATTGTTCAGTTTTATTTTCTTTTTTTTCTTACGATTTACTTGCGCTTACGACCACGAGTTAAAGGCTTCTTCATGTTTTTTTTTCTCTGCACTGGCGCAGGCTTCACGATCTTCAACTTGGAACTTTGATCGGACGGAACGCGAGACGCCATCGCTGCCTCGATGCTATGAATATAGTTACTGCGTGCTTTCCGCTCGATGGAATTCTTGGCTTTTGTAAACGTTGACTTCTTTTTCGCATCACCAACGTGTTTTCGCATTGCCCCAGCACTTTTAGTGGCTTTAGATTTTGCACTCAAACGTTTTTGAGCCATGGATCGACCTTTTTTCTTTTTTGGTTGAGTATTTTTTCCTTTGCACCGCTTTCGAAGATTCGTTTAGAAAATACTTCGTGCTTTTTGTTTAATAAGCACCACGTTAAAAAACTCTAATTTACTGGTACGGTTACAAACACACGTTTCCTATAGTGATTTTTCTTAATCCTATAAAACATACATTATGATTAAAGATTCGTGAAGATATAGGGTAAAAGGAAATAAAATCGATAGCGCTCTCTAGACAAATGATTAAGTGGTGAGAGCACAAGATAAACACTCATTTTTCATCTTGTGTGACCTTTTTCTTTCTAAAAAAAAAAGGGTCATCATCCCGTTGTTATATAAGTGTTCGTCTGAAAAACATTGCATAGGGTTTGTACATATAAGGAAATATACCTCTATTTTCATTAAGATTTACATGCTAATATGCCAAGAAAAAAAAAAGGCATTTCTAAAATCAAAGACAAATATGACCTTTTTCATTCATAGGTGCGTGAGTGTGTTTCAAGCTTTTAATACAGTATCTGTCAGAGCAGAAATCAGATCAATAACAATTCTTAAAATAGGCGCAAGACAACCATGCGGCATCCGAGAATTACGAACCGTAGGACGCATGACATCGTTCACGAAGGATGTTAAAAATTCAACGAAACAAAGCACGCGACGCCGCGCTCCACCCAGTGCGAGGGATCCGTCTCTGTCGGGATGTGGATGGGCAGTACGAAGTTTGTCGAGTGCCCCGTCGTGCTCAACGTTCCCGCCCGTGTTAGTGTTTTGTAGACCGGGCAGACAAACTTGGCCGGATCGGGAACCTGATTGACGACCGGATCGAAGTGAATGACGGGCATCTCCGTATACAACTCCCGTGGCCTGGACTCCTCCAGCCTCCGTCCCTCCGCATCCCATCGCGCGCCCTCCATATAAAGCCCGTAGACCAACGCCCCCTTTTCGGGCTTCCCCAGCCGCTCCCACTCACTGCCCGTCGTGGATAGGAGGTTGAAGTCGAAGGAGATGGTGTCGATCGCCTTCTGCAGGCGCCGCGCGTAGTTCTGCAGGGTCCCGGTGAGGAATGCCTGCGGGAAGAAAAAGCCCCCGATCCAGAACGCCGTCGGGGGGCCTTGGTTAAACCAGGTCCGAATGAATTGAATGCGCCGCACCAAATCATCCACCCAGCTCGAAAGGGGCTTGAGGGAAGGGTAGGCCAGGGCGGCCCACGCCGTCGGGACGCTGTTGAGAAAGAAATTCGTCCCGACGGCCTCGAGCTCGGCCGAGATGAGGACCTCGCCGCGAATCGCCTTTAAAAACTCCGTTAAGTTGGCGTGGATAAAGCGAAGCAGCCGGTTATACCGCATCACCTCCTGAACCAACACGATGTTCATCGACTCCTCGTAGCGGGTCGGGTACTTGGCGGCAATCGCCTCCTCGTCAAAAGGCTCGGGGAGCTGTTTTTGGATCGTCTCCGCCATATCCCGAAGCTGCGCGTCTTTGCTGGCGGCCTTGCCGGTAATGGAGGTCTGCGAGATCAGGGAAAGTACGGTGGAGAGGATCCCGGAGGTGATGTTCTGCGCGCAGGTGATATCGGCGTTCTCGTGGAGGCCAAAAATCTCGGGCTTCGGGTTGAGCGGGAAGTTGTGGAGGTGCTCGAGGTAGGCGGCGCGATTGCTCGGCTCCAAGGTGCGATAAACCCCCGAGGGGGAGAAGGCGTAGCCCACGTTGAGCACCGCCGGGCTCAAATAATGCCGAATCAGCGTCATCATACAGCGCCGATCCCAGTCATCGGTGACGCGGCCGCCGTAATTAATCTCCCCCGTGAGGAACATCAACACCTCAAAGGGAATGCTGTCGTAGAGATCGATAAACTTCTGAAGCTGCATCAGGCAGACGTGGCGATCGGAATCGTTGAATTCGTAGGAGATGTTGAAGCCCAGCGAGCCGAACTTCCGCCGCTCCTGAATCACGCCGTGAAAGAGGCAGAGCGAGAAGGCCAACTTCTTATAGCTCGCGGGGTCGTGGGTGACGTCCAGGTCGGTATCGGCGAGGCCATAGTAGGAGCGGGAGACATTCGCGCGAAGCCCCATCGGCGGTTCGTTAGTCATCTTCACCGAAATCTGAAGAACTGAAACGGGAAAGGCCTCACAGGGCATCGAGGTCAGCCATAATCGGAATTCCTTATTCACCGTTTCGGCCGTAAAGCTCTCTACAATCGCCTCCAACGCGGGCATCCACGAAATGGCGAGGTGGCAGTTCTGCAGGAGGACCCACTGGATTCTTTCCCGGCCGAGGGCGATGTACTCCTCGGCCTTTTTGCCCTGGCCCTGGCCAAGAGAGACCTTGTCCAGCCGACGAAGCATGTGCATGGACTCCGCAAACCGCATCAAATCGTTCATCGGGTCCGACCCTGGGGAGTTGATGAAGATTAGGGGCGATAAACAATCGCTGTCCTTGTACGCGTCGGCCACGTCAAAGGGCGGGACGATGATATAGCGCTCGCCGATATAATGTTTGACGTATTGCTGGATGGCGGGGATCATATCCTTGCCAATGCAGCGAAAGAGAATGAGCCGTTCAAGAAGGCTGCCCGTGTTCGCGCGCTCGGCCGCCAAGGCGACGTTGTGCAGGTCGGAGTCCGGGCTGTCGAAAATCGCCTTGTAGTGGGCAATATGCTTCGCCATATGCACGTCAAAGCCTTTGAAAAAAGGAAGCTGGGAGGCGACGAACTGAACTTCGGTCCACATGTTATCGGTGATCCAACTCGGGTCCGGGTTCGGCCTGGAATCGATTCGGCGCGTCGGTCCCCTGAGAAAGTAGCGAAACTCCTCCTCATCCAACTCACCGCGCTGCTGCTGGACGGCGGTGCACAAATAAAAGGAAAAGGTGAGTTTATGCTTCTCAAAAAGGGAATGGCAGACATTGCAGTAGAAGGAGAACATAAAGTAGTCGATGAGGTTTGCCACCCGCTCCTCGACGTCCTCCGCGGGCTTGGCATCCTTGACCGCGCGAAGAAAAAGATTAAAAAACCATTGTAGGGAGAACTGGCACATGGAATCGATCGTCGAGAGCTTCGACACGCAAAAGAAAAGAAGAACGCCACGCTCGGCGTGCGGTCGGTACTTATTTCGCGTATCATCAATAATCTTCGTTGTCTCCTTCGATTTCTGCAGGTACTCGTTGATCTCCGTCGACTTGGTTTTGCTCTTTTCGAGGGTGTCAATCAGCTCCTCCTGCTCCAGGATGTCCCCTTCGGCCTCTTCCAGGAGTTGTAGAATATTGCTTTGGATCTCCTTCAGCTCCTTCTGCTTATTGGCGCTGTCGATGGTTAGTTTTTGCTTATCCTGCTCTAAATCGCTCCGCTCCACCCCCACCGTCTTGGCGAGAAGCTGCTCCTCCAGCCCGTTCGCGGTAATAAAGAAGTTCAGCAGGGAGACCGAGACGATGGTCTCCGGGGTGTAGGTCGGGTTGGACAATTTCGTCGTGATGTAGAGCTTAAAGTTCGTATCGTACGGGATGGCGCTATCGCCGATGCGAACGTGGGGGGTTCGGCCGATAAGGAATATGTTTTTCAGCAGAACCGGCTCCAGCGCCGCCTCCAAGGACTCCCCGACATTCTCCAGCAAACACGGCAGACCGAGACGGATGGCCTGCTCGATGGTCTTCATGAAGCGGCCGCTCGACGCCTTGCAGACCTGCAGGTTGTCATTTTTGTAAATATTCCGAATCCACGCGTTGCCCTGTCCTTGCGGGTCGATGAGAAGCGGCCAATTGCGCGAGTTGGCCATGATGATGGCGTTTTCAGTCGATAGCAAATCCGACGGGAGGCCGTTCAGCTGCCATTCTTGTATTTTGACGGGGTCGCCCATGGTATGGACGAGATTGCATTCCGCGCTGATCCGCACGTTATTGGCCTTCAGCACGTCCTTCCATTTGTCGAGCAGCTGCTTGCGATAAAGCCCGGTGAGGGGGCCGCAGTAGGAGATCGTCGCGGTGGCGATGAGGACGTCGCCGACGATGTATTTCTCCTCCTCGTTATAGCGGGCCACCAGGTCCGTCCAGCGGATCTTCTCCCCCCCCAGCCCATTAATCAGCCGCGCGGCGCGCTGGAGTTTGAGGCTGGTCTGCTCCACCTTATTTTCGAGTTCGGTTTGGGTCTGAACCGCCTCGGCGTACTCGCGCTCGAGGGCCTCGACGGCGGCGATGACGTGGTCCAGGACGGATCGCGTGTGATGGAGGGCCTTGGTCACGCGGGCCAGCTCCTCCTCCGAGGCCTCCAGGCGCTTCCGCAGCGGCTGAATCTCCCGATTGACGAAAAACCACCGGTACATCGCGCGCACCCACAAACACATCGCCATACACGGCAAGGACACCGAGCGAACCTTCTCGGGCTGGAACTCCTCGTTATCGCAGTAAACTCGGATTTTCTCAATCAGCGGGGTGTCCATCGCTTCTCGGTTAAACCCCCCTTTTTCCGGCGGCTGCACCATCGTCTCGAGCAGGCGGTTCGCGTCTTTCATGTAGGACTTCGCGCACAACCACCAGTCCGGCGTCTTTTTGCTCCCCGCGGGCCCCGTGTAATACTCCTTCGGGCAGTTCCCAAGCGTCAGCAAAACCGCCACCGCCTCCATCACGTACTGCACCCCTTTCGGGGGGCTTTGGTACTTGTTCAACTCCGCAATCTCCGACGCTTTGATTTTCGACAGGACTTTCACGGCCTCCGCCAGGGCCGGCTCCGCCTCGGCAAGGCGGTTCGCGCACTCGCCGCGCATTCGCGCGCACTCCTCGGCCTTCACCGACGCCGCGGCCTCCTCCTTGCGGGCGTCGGCCTCCTTCAGCGCGGCCTCCTTGCGATCGACGGTCAGGCGCTCCATCATGACCTGGATTTCCTCCCGCTTGGTCTCCAGGAGGGGCTGCTGGGCCTTGAGTTGGGCCTCGAGCTCGGCGACGCGGGCCTCGGTGTCGTGAAGCTTGTCCAGGCCGTTCTCGAGGCGCAGGCGCTGCTCGTGCAGGTCGCGCCGGCGGCCCCGCAACACGTCGCCGAAGCCGCCCAAAAAGGACAGGTACAACGTCGGCGTCACGTAGGACCGCCTCCGGGTTTCGGCGAAAAAGACCTCCGTGACCTCCTCCGCGAGGACGTGGAAGGTCTTAAAACACTCCACCAGGTCGGTGAAGTCCTTGGGGATCTCGCCCGGGACGCTCGAGCGGCGGCGGGCCTTCGTTCCCCCCCCGCCGGCGAAGCCCTGCGCGAGGTGGACCCGGGCGACGGACAACAGCGCCTCCCCGGGCCACTCGGCGAACCAATCGATCGTACAACACGCAATCAGGGAGGGGAACATCCGCATTCGGGTCCGAAAGACGTCGCCGATCGGGGAAAAGGCCAACACCAGGTGTAGATTCGATCGCACCTCCTTCACAAACCGCGCGTAGATGGAGACTTTGGTGGTTGGCAGGCTCTCGCTGATGCAGATGCCGCGGTATTTCTCGTTGATGAGCTCCAAGTCCTGGTCCTCAAAGAGATTGGGGACGTCGCCGGAGGTCAACAACGCCGTGACGTCTTCCAGAAAGACCGGCTGCACGATTTGGGTGTCGGAGAAGAGAAACGTGCGCTTTTTATCACTCATCCCGCATTCCAACAGCAACCGCGCGAGGGTTTCGTGCCATTCCTTGACCCCAAAGCTCTTGGTGATCTCCACCGTAAAGATCTCCATCTCCTGAATCAAATAACACGCCAGGCGCGTGAGGGACTTTCGACCGGAGCCACCGATGCCGAGGAGGAGGCAATGCCCGCTCGGCATGCACAAAACTCGGAAAATGCGGCAGACGTGCTCGATCGCATCCAAAAAGAGAACCAAGTCCATACGATTCTCGTTCTCCTCGTTGTAGGTCGCCAACAACTCGTCGAAGCGGTTCGTCAGGGCCACCATGTCCGTTATCTGGTCATAGCCCTTATGGGTGGTCATAAAACTTCCGAAAATGAGCCGCCGGGACCCGATAAACTCCTCGTAGGGCTCGGTGAACCCCATCTCGCGAATTTCTTTCTCCAAAAGCTGCGTGAAGGCCGCTTTGTCTTCGTCGTTAATCAGCCGATCGCTAAAGACGCGTTGCATTTCATGCAGCCATTTCTTCACCAACTCCTCTCTCGATTGCACCGTCTTTTCCTCGCTCGAGTACAACATCGGGAAGACGCGCATGACATCACGCATGTTAAACGAGTAGTGCACATGCGCGGGGATCGGCAAGAACATCTTGCAGGACTTCTGGAAAACGCGCAGCGTGCTTTCCACCATATTTGCCCCGATCTCCCGGATATCCTCCGCGACCTTTTGATGGGCGAGCCCGCTGAAGAGGATGGTACTTAGGATGAGCCGCTTGGAGGTGTTGGACATGTCGGGGAAGGACAAATAGTTGAAAAACCGCATAAATCGGTTCGAAACCTGCGCGCGGCCCCCCCCTGGCGGGCCCATGGCTAGAATGAGCGAGGTGTCGATAATGGTATTCCATCGAATCCCCCCCACGAGGGAGTAAAACCCGCCATGGCCGAGAAGTTGTCGAAGCAGCTCCAGCGGTGGCTGCGCGCCGTACCGCTCCGGCTGCGGTAAATTCGCATCGTCGATAAAAACGAGAAAATGTTTCCCCGTCGGCGCCCCGTAAACGCGCGAGCGGCGCTTGTCGAACTTCGCCATGAGCGACCCCTGCAGCACCCCGGCCCTGGTTTGGGCCGAAAAGGTAAAGGTCAGGCCCAAAAAGGCGTTGGGCAGCTCCCCGCCGAGGATCATTTTGAGCGCGGAGACGGACTTCCCGGTCCCGGTCGGCCCGATCACCGCGGTGTTCGCCTTTTGCCGAAGCAGGTGGCGAAGGATGTAGTTTTGTCGGGTGTTGTCGATGGTGGGGACGAGGATGTCGTCAAAGCGCGTCCCGCGCGCGACCTCGAAGCTCGGCTGGAGGTCCCCCCAGTGCACCCAGCCCGCCGCGTCCTCCGTGTCCTCCGCGGCCGGGTGGGAAAGTGCCGCCAGGGCGGCCTGGAATTCAAAGCAAAAGTCGTAGACGGTCTGGTCCGCCGCCGGGGCGGCCGGGGGGAGGTGGGCCTCGTGGTGATGCCCCGCGGCCATCGCGCGGAGGGCCGCATCGAAGCGCGCCCGCCCGTCCCCATCGCAGGTCGCCCCCACGCTCCACACGAGCGAAAAGAAGAAGAGGGGGGGGACGATCGCGCGCAAAACCTCCTGGGGCTGATTCGTTGGCTGGGAGGGCGGGTTCTGGGACCCGAGGTGGGCCGGCGGGGCGACTTTGACCGCCGCTTCAATGGTCTGGAGATGGCCATTCATCATTTTAATAAAGGAGTAGACCAGGTTGCTCGAGGTGGAC